ATATCAACACTAAAGTCCTATTTTATATCCAGAGACGCATCCGATGATCAAATGTTTGAACAATTAGACAAAATTAAGACTAAAGCATTTAATTGTCATTTTAATACAGCTAACAAACTAAGATTACTAATTATTTTCAATAATTGCTATTATTAATAAAATCTATCAAAAATTAATTAAAAATTAGTCATTTTTACTCGAACCTCCCTTGAAGAAACCCTCTTTATAAGAAACACTTTGGCTATGCATCTGCCCGTTTCTTATGGAGAGGTTGCACTGTATTTAAAGAAGTTTGCGCATCTGTGGGATAGCGGGAAATCGGGATTTATTGTGATAGAATGAAAGTACACTCAATAGGTAGTCGAGTGATATACTTCATATGTCCAGATACTTTCGGGTCTGGCCGTAGTGACCACTTTTATTGGTCAAATTTTGAAAATCAAATCTTTTATTTTATAAATAACCATATCATATTATATATCAATAGAAAGGTATGGATGAGTAGAATCGAGATCCGAAGGAATATCTCAATTCTGACATAATCGATAAAAGTTATATCAAAATTAAGAAAATTAGTAACAGTCATGTACGTTTTTTATAGTGAATAACGTAATTACCGAACATCATTTATATCAATTTTAAATATGCTTACAATGATAATTCATTTCGCAAATTAAAAAAATAATTTAAAAATTTAAATAAAATTTTTGGCATTTTCACCATTATTTTTGCGCAAACTTCTTTATTTAATATTTTGTAAGAAATAATTAAACAGTGATTTATTGGCATACGTATCTCAGGCATAAAATGTTAATTTTTAATATTTATTAATTAATTATATTCAATAAAACATAAATAATATTAAACATACTCATTTGAAAGTAGATTTAATGTACAATTATTTAAAACACAATAACTTATTGTCAATAAGAATAAAACATGGTTTGTGTCAAACTTTGAGACCAAATTACTGACCAATTGTGGCACAACTTAGTGGCGACGATAACTCATCGTTGCCATTAATATTAGGCAAATAATAATTATTATTAATTTTATAACTTTATCTTGTACATTAAGCTTGCCCAAGCTTCTTTAAACTTAAATATCCACTATATATGTGTAAGACATGGTATGTTTCGGTGATTTAGGCTTTGAAAACAAACTAGTGACCAATTGTGTTATTGCATTATTGTCATTGCCAATAATATGATGCCATTCACTCTCAAGACATTGAAAGCCATTATCATTAATGAATTCAATTGTCTTAGCAGTTAATTCTTGATTCTTATATTGTAACATCATTTTCGAAATAGTGAACGCATTCTTCGGGTTAAGTCTCATATAAACCAAATTCAGACAAATAGTCTTCAGCTCCGAAACCATATACTTCTCGGAGACGTAAAGCAATTCGCCTAACATTTCTTCTAATTTCTCTGAGTCTCCGAAATACATGAATCGTAGAAATTCTTCAAACACTTTGTCGTCGATGTCATCGATCACTACATCACTGGTTGTCTTCTCAGACATATTAGTGGTAAGCATATTGTAAAACACTTGCAATCGACCGCTGAGAAGGGCTTTGGAAGCGAAGAACTCTTTACTGCCGACAATAATACGACAATCGCTGAGTTCTTTGTTATTAAAACTATTTGCAAAACAAACTTTTGATTTGTGTCCATTCGAGTGGATCTTATTAATGTTGATATTCAACACAACAGTTAGCGTATTGTTAGGCAAATACGTGTTTTTTTATCCACAATAGTCTGATATTTGACAAAACACTCGCTCCCAAAACCCATGCGATTATTGTATTGCATTTTCTTGCCATCAGTTAAATAGCAATCGGTGTCCGGAATATAGGCTTTAAAAGTGGTCACCGAACCACTCGATCTTTTTAGATTAGTATTGACTAATTCAATGTAAACACCGAGATGTCTGCCACCGGTGATGTCCGTTGAGTTGATAAACACACGCCATTCATCTGATCCAATAGAGAACACATCGCTGTATGAAAGAAACTTATGAACAAATGTTTCCGTAAAATTGTTCACTCTATAAACCACTTAAGTCTTAAAAACCTCTTCATTTAATGCCATAGTATTTGAGACAATTTACGGCTTACTTTGTTCTCAATAAAAGTTAAATATTATTAATAATTATAATATAAATAGTGAATTTAGTAAATTATACATATTTATTTATATAAATGTAGTTTTAAAGTATTTAAACATAATATTTTAATACAACATGTAAATTACATTAACAAATATACGTGACATAACTAATCATTATTAGATTTATCGCTTGTTGTAAAATCACCATGACAATTTCTTTATTACTCAAAAAATGTTATTACTTAAATGCTTTGATTGCATAAATTTTTATGAATTTACTATTAATTCTAATTGATAAAGATATGTGATATACTTTAACATGGGTAATGCTAAGTCTATGGCTGTGCTAATCGTATGGGCAATGTAAAGTCTATGGGACTAATGCTAATCCTAGTAGTGGTAGTGATAGCTTGTAGTAATGATAACTCTATGGGAAATTCTGAGTCTATGACAGTTCTGAGTTTATAGCAATGTTAAGTCTATGGGACTAATGCTAATCCTATGCATCACCCGAATAGTGGTTAGCGTATTGAATTGCTGTGTGAATCTTGTTTGTTCACGTAATTAATTAACAATTATTGTGTTTTTTATTATGTTTTTTACTGAATTAAATTCTAGTTATAAATTATACTCTGATTTAAAACTAAACCTATTTTGTAAATGAATTTTGTTAATTTTTAGTTGTATTTGAATTTAAATAAAAGTATTTTTCATAAATAGCATAATTTGAGTGCAAATTAACAGTATTTTCAATTACGTTAAACATTATTATTGTTTAAATCAAATCCATTTCTATTCTTTTTCTGCCAATTCATACCTGATTGGCAAATATCTGTGATATTCCTCTTCGGCCGCCAATTGAGTATATGTTCAGCGAGTGATATATCGGCCCAACACTGGCCAATGTTAGTAAATAGTGACATTCAACTTTATGTAAACCGATATTTATTATTTTATAAATAGCTTTTATTATGTAAACCAATTGCTCAAATGTATCTGTGATTGTATTATCATTTAATTAATTGTTTTAATAATTTACTGTTAAAAGACATTTGTTGTAATTCCCTAAATATTAATTATCTAATCATTTCTAACAAAGAATTAAAACAAACTTTCATTCAATTTATTAGTGATTGATAGAAATGATCATTAAATGGATTATTAAATGGAAATATTTCCTAAACTCTCGATTAATAATGATATCATTTATTGAAAAATTGCTAAGAATTCAGGATTTGAGTATTTTTATCACTAAAATGAGTGAATAAATTATACGCAGACTTCATATAAATGAGTATTAATTAGATTTTATCCACAGATAATCCCATATCTCAATAATTATGGATTAATAACTAATGGATTTCTCAATAAAAATGAGTTAAAAATTACTTTCAGACTTGACTTTAAAAATAAGTCAATCATTTCTCACTACAAAAGTTTGATTAATTTGCAAAAATTATTTTATAAAAAACATCACATTTAATAATAATAATCGTTATTATAATTACAATTAACGCAATTATGTGCCGCAAAATATCTCACATTTCTCTCATAACTCTATGCATAACAATCACTACTTGTGTGGGGAATATCGTTAAACTCAACGACCATTTGTTTATCAACGAAACGGATCTATTCATACGAAAGCCCAGTCATTACACGGTTCCCGTCTTAAAGCCACTCTTCAGTCCGTCATCGATGGTCAGCGCCAGCAGTGATACTGCGGACGAAGACAGTCTCAACACCGACTCCGAGGACTCGCCCGCAGACCTGTACTCACGAGTGAAAGATTTTTTCAATCCAATCAATTGGTTGCGCAAACTCTTTGAGACAATACCGGCGGTCGGCTTCTGGATTCTGGGCATTCATACGGACGACTGTCGCTATTTAACGGTCTGCGAGACGTCCAACTTTCTAATCAATTACACGCCGCGAGCGGTACTGAACTACTTCCGGGGCGACGGCGGGGCCGGCGGGTCGTCCACTCTCTCACTGTTGGCCACTTTGATGGGCGAAACCCCTTATATGGAGGCCTGGAGTCTGGGACTCATCCGGAGTATCGATTGTACCGTTTTCTACAACTGTACGGAACATCCATTTGGTTATCTCATATCTAAATGATCTTGTTAATTGTTATTATTGTGTAATTAATTAATTAACAATTATTGTGTTTTTTATTATGTTTTTTAGTGAATTTAATTTTAGTTATAAATTATACTCCGATTTAAAACTATAGTCTATTTTGTAAATGAAGTATTTTTTAGTTGTATTTGGATTTAAATAAAAGTGTTTTTAATAAATAGCATAATTTGAGTGCAAATTAACAGTATTTTAAATTACTTTAAACATTATTATTGTTTAAATCAAATCCATTTCTATTCTTCTTCTGCCAATTCATAACTGATTGGCAAATGTCTGTAATATTCCTCTTCGGCCGCCAATTGAGTATCTGTTCAGCGAGTGATATATCGGCCCAACACTGGCCAATGTCTGCCACCCGGCGGTCAGTGACCACATGGGGTACAGTTAGTCCGGACACCGATTCAAACGCAGCGATGATCTCAGGGACAGAATGTCCGTAACCGCTGCCGACGTTAAACGTATACCATTTGGACCACTTGTCGGACAGCATCTTCTTCAGGACAATACCGATGGCATCGCACACGTCCTCCACATGAATGTAATCTCTAATACCGGTGCCGTCGACGGTGTCGTAATCGCCGCCGTAAACCCGCAACTCTGGCCTAAGATCCGCTGCCACTTGCGATACGTATGGCATGAGATTCTTGGGAACAGTTAGCGGATGTTCGCCGATGTCTGCCGAAGAATGAGCGCCACTTGTGTTGAATATGCGAAGTGAGACAACTGTCCACTCGTTGTCATCGGTGGCGCACAAGTCTTGCAGTATTTGTTCAGACATGTGAGCACTCTTGGCGTAAGGACTGGTCAGCGATTGGCCGGTGGGGTGCGACTCGTCGACCGGCAGATACCGGGGTTTGCCGT